CACAAACACACACACACACACACACACACACACACACACACACACACACACACACACACACATACATATTGTTCAACTTGAGAAGAGTAGCTTTTCGAAGAATCGTGAAAAAGCGATTCAACTGGAAAAAATATCGGATATCAAAGGAATTATTCTGAAAGGTAGGAAACCAAACGGCGCCCCCGGGGCTGAAAGGTAGGACGCCAGCGAAATAAGCAAAGCGAGTCTTGCCGCCCCCTGACGAGTTGGCGGGGCAACTCCGATGAAACGGGCTGTCAGAGCCGCTTGTTTGTTGTGCCTTTTCTTCCTCTGCGCCGACGGTTTACCGGGCAGTTCTCGATCGGCCTCGCTCCACTTCTCTCCACCTGCACAAAAGATAAAAGAATTTGGCGGTGTATCTTCCCATGTTCTAGCGGAGCACTCAGTGAGTAGTGGAGCGAGGCCCTATGTGTTATAAGTCGTACCTCCGGCGCACCGGGGTGCTGATGCACTTGCAATGTGCGGAAGGGTGCAGAGCGCAAGCCTGGTTGGAGCTGTGCCTCATGCTTGCGCACGGGTGCGGGGTGCTTTTTCTTTTTTGTATGTGTGTGCCATTGAAGAAACGCCCATCAAAAAACGCGTTGTCATCAAGGAAACACCCTTAAATGAAGTTCAAGTAGCGCTCCTCGGAGAACTGCGTGGATATCGGCCCACCTGTCAGCTCTGATATAGTCATGATGAGGGTGTGTGTTGTGCACCCCAACACAAGAATACAGTCGACCGCCAGAAATACCTTCGTCAGAGGTATTGTTAGAAATAACTGGTTTGCAGAATACAGCACACCCTCATGACTGTAATAGGACCAGAAAGATTGCTCGCATACGTCCTGACACAGGGATAGAGGAAATGGCCGTTCGCACCCTTCTTGAAAACACCCTCATGCGGGCCGCAGTTCCAGCGAAGCTGAGTAATGACTTTTTGAAAATTGTATGTTCGATGCTGCTTCTTGATATCGTTTCTTTGCAAATCGTACCTTTGATGCCGTTTCCTAATGGATTCGGTTGGCCTTGCTTGTCTCTCTTCTATGTTTTCAGATTTGTGCGATCATGCTGGTTCGTACGACGTTAAGCTTATGGAGGACTCACCGGTGGAGGTCACAGGCACAATGAGGGACATATATAGGAGCACAGTGGCTGCGCTGAGGTCATTGCAGGAGCTGCGGAATTCTTCGACTCCGTCGGTGATCCCGATGCCTCCGATTGTGGTGAATCGGGCCAGATCCGGAGGGTCTTCTTCCCCCATACCGCCTGGGTGGAATGTGGCGGACAGCCGAGGCAGTGGCAGTGAAGGCGCAGACGGGGCAAGTGGCGGGGCCTTGGTGAATGGCTTTGGGAAATCGGGACACCATTCAACGTACTGGCTCACGGACAGCGATGAGTTCGATGACGACGACGAAAATTCACCTACGGCGAGGCCCGTGGATTGCGAACGGGACACAGTCGGGGCGGGAAGGAGGAGGTCCCCCCCCCCCATGGGTGGACGGGGTGCAGCTCAGCGCGGTGAAGATGTTTCGATGGCAGTGGGGGATAAACCTGCACTGCCCGATGGAACAGCAAATACAGAAGCCCAGTGCAATGCCAAGCCTGGGGAAGGAGCTGCACCCCCTAGGACAGTTAGAGAGGGTACTGCGTGCGAAAACACTGCAGCTTACGAAGAGAGAAGCGCAACGGAACGGCAGGATTCCCCGGACCGCGGCAGGAGCCTCGTTGAGGGAGGGGGTGACTCTAACAAAGGAGGGGTGATTGATCCTGAGGAGCTGCAGCTGGGAGAAAGTGACAGGACCGGTGGAGCGCGGGACCGCAACAGCGGAGTGGTAATTGCTTCGGAACAGTGGCAGCTGGGACAGAGGGACCGGACAAGGGAAGATGCTTGTGGCTGATGAGAGGTGGTGCTGTTTCCGTGCAATAGCTTTTGACTCGAGTGTGGGCTAGACGCTGTGGCTCTTAGGGCTGCTGCAATATGTGAGGCTGAGCACTGAGAAGTGCTGTGTACGAGTATTGCGAAACGGATGGACGCGCTGACGGTATCCCTCCCTCCCTGTTGAAGCCAAACTCTTGAAGAAGACCCGTCTCCTACTCTACTCTGCTACCTTTCTGCCACTGGGCGATTGATTGGGTGCGTGTATCTCATCGTTTGTGCGTTTTGATGCCTGATAACCACCCTCGACGAGATGTTATCTATTTCAGACACTTCCTATATAGTGAAGATGCTTGTGGCTGGTGAGAGGCGGTGCTGTTTCCCTGCAATAGCTTTTGACTTGAGTGCGGGCTAGACGCTGTGGCTCTTAGGGCTGCTGCAATCAGTGAGGCTGAGCTCTGAGAAGTGCTGTGTATGAGTATGGCGAAACGGATGGATGCGCCGACGGTATCTCTCCCTCCCTGTCGAAGCCAAAATCTTGAAGAAGACCTGTCTTCTACTCTACTCTGCTACCTTTCTGCCATTGGGCGATTGATTGGGTGCGTGTATCTCATCGTTCGTGCGTTTTGATGCCTGATAACCGCCCTCGACGAGGTGTTATCTATTTCAGACACTTCCTGTCTTATATGACTGTACTGGACTGGAAAAATAGCTTGTATACATTCACGATCAACCTGACCATGGTACTGGGAACTCAGGTATGAATAGGTTGGCCGGCAAAGACCCTCGCAATTTAGTGAATTGCAAGGCGTGCCTTTCTGCTCCAGGCCGAATGCCATGGAGACCCTTGTAGCTGGGAAATGGACCCCCGGTGGACCATGCCTGTGGCATTAAACTTTGGTCAGGAAAAGAACTGCTGAAAAGTCTGCACCAGGTGGGCTGTCTTGTCCACCTCTCCGTGTGAGGAAGGATGAGGTTGAGCCGTTACGTAGCCTTTGGCCTTTGACGAGTGAGCCATTCCTGTGCTCCTGTCCTTGCGATGAATGCTGCAACGATGGCAGTCAGCGCACCGCCATTATCGTCCGTGTACATTGGTGCTCGAGTGGCGGCTCTTGCGAACATTGTATTGCACTGCATGCTCTGATTGTCAGAAGGGTGTCCACTCCCAATACCTGTCGGGCGGAGTTTACTTGCTCATCAGGTGTTCAGTTGCAGTGTTTGTATTTGGGAGGGCAATTGGCCATGGCATTTCACTTTGTCTGCGATGCGCAGTCTCATGTCCTGGGCTTGTGTTCCCTTGGAAGAGGGTTGCGTATGACCTGCTCACAGTCGGTGAAGGTGAAGGCCATGGCTTGCTCTCGACTGGATTCCCGTCGATGCGGAGGAAGCTAGGTTGATCGCGGCGATGGTTGACAGCTGTGAGGGAGGGAGGGAGGGAGGGAGGGAAAAAGGCAAAATTTTGTCAGGAATTTCATTCCACTTGGAAGAGGTTCAATTGTTTCAGGTTAGGAAGTGATTACTGGAGTTGATTGGGAAAWGATGTTCACGCTCTRAGAGAGCGTGATGTCATTTGCGTATTTGCGCAATTGGAGGGGTGCGCRTCCTGCATCGGGGACTCTGGGTRYCATTGTGGCGTACCCTTCAGTAGGCTGKACAGTTCGCAGGACATGAATCSGTGTCAGGGAGCGCGGAAGGGACATCTGCAATAAGGWGGTGAGGCATAATAGGAGGGTCATCTGCAATAAGGTGAGGCATAATAGGACCTTGAGAGGACATCATCTGCTGGACAGGCTCAAGTGGCATTACTTGGCGTCGAAGAGGTGTCTGTCGATTGTTGTGGGCGACAAGTCGTCGCTGGAGAGCACGTGTTCTGCACTTGCGACTGCAGAACTATTATGACACAAGGACACCATTTTCACTGCCGCCATCAATCCTGAACAGGGTTGCTACTGGGGAAAATGTTGCAACGGGGTTCCCATTGAACAATTATCGCTTGGGGTTGAGTGCTGATCGCTGGTGGCAGGGAAGAGGGGGCGGTTTGTTCCCAGCCTGTCCTGCCGGGGTGTAAAGACAAGCTTCTGATTGAAATGTATTATTGACTATTCACGGAGATAGGGCATCACTCCAGTACTCAGTATTCGACAAGAACCTGGACTGCCGCCTAGACCAGATGCATTTGGACTGACCAAACATTTTGATTGTATCGGACATTTAACAGGCCCAGGCTCCAGCTACTTTGTATGCTGTGTAGTGGAGCGTGGCGCGAAGCACTTTCCGGCACCAGAGAGTTGTCTTGTCCTGGGTAGTCGTCAAGAAAGATCCACCCAACCTGCTGTCGTCCGAGTGCAGCGGGGGCATGACACGGATGCTTCGGGTGGATTTTGGGCATCCGTTCCAAAGACTGCGGTGGATTACGATTGAGGTGGGGTATGCCCTACCTTTGCCCTACCTCGATCAGGTTCTCAGACTATGTTCTGCTATGTACCGTGCGAGGTCCTTCTGTCCAGACTGCAGTCTCGTCAAAGTGTGAAGGCGCGTTTGGCCCTCTGTGGCAGTTTTTCCCAATGTGGAGTACCAAGTGGGGTGTACAGTAGAGTGTAGATTCCACAGGCACACACACACACACACACAGGGGAAGAGAGAGAGAGAGAGAGAGAGAGAGAGAGAGAGAGAGAGAGAGAGAGAGAGAGAGGTGCCATCATTGAAAGCTGACCCTGCCCAACGATTCGGCAATCAGCATTCGTCTTTTTGACTCTGTAATAGTCTGTATCCTCAGCAGTTAAAAAGGCTGAGAATTTCCATCTCAGAAGACCACCACTGATTGCATGAAGACCACCACTGATTGCATGAAGACCACCACTGATTGCATGAGGGTGATCCTGCTGATATGCATGCATGCATTATGTTGGCAGAGAGACATACAACTGGTCATATGCGGAGAGAGAGAGAGAGAGAGAGAGAGAGAGAGAGAGAGAGAGAGAGAGGTTAGCACATTCTACTTTTGCTTATCTGTTTGATTAAGAGAATCTCGAGGGAATGTGTGGAAGGAGTATGAAAACCTACTGAGAGAGAAGGGGGCGGAGGAGGGTTGAGGGCGCCTTTCGGTTGATGCAACCGATGACAATCAACGTGATGGCTGTCGCAGTGTCTTTGGATCGCTCTTGGGAGGTATGATATGATTATTTAGACATGGGAAATAGTTTTCCGGGGAGAACTTTGCGACCCTCGTTTTAAACATCTTGTTCTCACCCGAACCAGAGTAGGGCTCCGACTGATTTACACGGAAGAGTGAATCGCACTCGGAAGAGTGAAGAGGAATACGATAAATTGCATGCCTAGTACTTTTTGGAGGTTCTCTTTCGCAGCAAAAAGAAGAGATAGCGATAGCGATACTAACTGTCCCCCATCCCCGCGCGCCGTTTTTAAATTTTACTTTCAGAAAATGATCATTATACTCAATAAGCATGTGCACTTTAATTTTTGACCATCTCTTCCGGCGAGCTCTTGGCATATTCGCTTCTTTTTGGAACTTGGATGGCTTTCGCGGGCGGGTGTCGCGCGCCAGTGAGGTCATGGCATCGACCCCTCCTTATTTTTTTTGTTTTATTGCTCCAAAAGTTGGTCTGATTTTTTGAATAAAGGAAAGGAAAAAAAAAAAGACTTAAAAAAAGGGATATGAATCTGGACATAGGGCACTGGCACAGGCACAGCTGCTGTGAGCAGTGTTGCTGCTCTGGTGCATGAACTGATTTCTCCTGTCTGCCTCTGTCTCTTTGTGGTGTCCGGAGTTCATTGCTCTTGTCGCCTGCCTGCGCGGTATCGACTTAAATTAAAATAACCAACGAAGGAGACGACATGCAGAAGAATAACCAATGAAGGAGACGACATGCAGAAGAGTAAACATGTCACATAACCGTTCTCGTATGAGGGGGAAAAAAAAAAAAACAAAAAAAAAAACATGTCACCCGACTGTGTGGCCGACGAGCGGTACACATGAACGGTGCTGAAATACCGACCTGAGTTCGAATCGGGATGGGAATCAGATAAGTGAAAATATGGTAGCTCAAGGCAGATGCCTTAAAAAAAAAAAAAAAAAAAAAAGGAAAGAAAAAGGAAGAAAGCTGTGCTGTTTTCTTTTTCGAAGGATCACTACCTTTCCTTTTTTCCCTTTTTTATGATATGAGAAATATTATTCTCGCAATTCGACCTTTCACTATCTACCTACGAGTACTCGGCCTACGCCTTATACAGGGGACCTCTGCAAGCATAGCTAGTAGTTACCTCTCACAATTAAGGGGATGCATGTTGTCCGCTGCCCTGATTGGCATCGGCGGTGGTCAGGGTGTAGGGCGGGAAGAGGCCGCCGGTGGGGGGTGTGACTGACTAAAAGAAAGGTCCAGCATTTTGCCACTTGACGCTAAGTCGCAAGTTTTGCCTCATCCGACAAATATCGCTGCGCGGCGGCCGTTGATAATTTTCATAGGCGGCGCCTCAGAGACCCGCGGCCCCATGTATGAGAAAGGTAGTGGTGGTTTAATATAACAAGAAATATTTTTTTTTTGCCAGGCGCAGTGCCCAGTGCCCTGTGCCCAGCACCCAGCGCCCAGTGCCAGGGCAATCCATAAAGTCGCGAAAAATGTAGGGGTAGCCAGGTAATTCTGCACCATCCGTAGCTCAGAGTCCCACCCCTATAGCTACAGCTCCAGAAAAAAAAAACTAAAAAAAAAGCTATGTTACCAGCGTGGCCCAGGAGCACTTGCCCACGGGGGCCAGAAAGGGTTGCATTCCATTTAGTTATTGAACTTATTATTATTATTATTATTATTATTACTATTATTTTTTTTTTTTAAAGATCCATGTGGTAGTAGCGGCTGGGCTCTATGCCTTAGGAAGTGTCTGATTTGCATGTTCAACCAGTGGGGGGGTCACTTGGAGGTTCCACATTTTCGAGGACACCTAACCATGGAGACTACACTTTTTAACTATGTTACCTTTTTAACTGTCGTAAGTCGAGCCCCTATAGCTGGTTACCTAGACCTAGCCTAACTAGACCAAGGCTCCCAAACTCGCAATGTGCCAAGGATCTAACTACAGACCCCTGACTGCTACCATAGAGGAACACCCTGGTTACTCAGAGACGACCCGGAGCAGATTGGGCTATTTCCAACGTACATCAACCTCACAGACTCCGGTACGACAACCACCCTACCCTTCCCAGATGAGTATTCTACCTGGAGGAATCCCCTTGATGTGTACCCCTAACTTAAGTGACCTCTCCAGTGGGTATGACAAACCAGGCACTATCCCGGATGAAGCTCATCCCGCAGGCATCGTAAGATTTTAACGGGGGCCCGCCTGCAGGCATCGTAAGTACGTAGGACCCGTCCTGCTACAACCCCTCTATAGGATGCATGAGAGGCGGGATCAGACCAGGACCAGGGKGGGACAAGTATGGGTTCAACCATCGGTAAACCTCTGGATCGGGAAACCAGGATGGTACCCAAGACATCTGAAGACACCCCAGGAACCCACACAACCCCCATGGAACCTGAAGAGGTTCACACCCCTCATGCGGATTGACACCCTGACCTAACCTGACTCCTAACCTAAACCCCATTCTGGCCAGTATACTGGTGCAGACCCGATCATCGGACTGGAGGCCTGACTAAACCCTTCGAGTACCCCTCGTCTCAGGAGCAACCCCAATCATCGGACTATCCAAGGGTTCTGATCATTCAGGACAGACGACCCTCCCCCAAAGCCTGCGGTGAGACTCCCTAAACCTAGACGCAGACCCGATCATCGGGTCGGGATCAGACCCATCGAACACCCCTCATCTGTGGAGTAACCCCCTTAGTCATTGGACCACCCCAAAGGCCGACCACTCAAACAGTCCTCCCCCAAAGCCAGCTCCCAGCATACTAACAACATGGACCAGTCCCTTGGGCGGTGCGCAGGCAGTGTCTGTATAAACATACCAATGCGTCGTCCCAAGGTGGGGTGCGAATGGCTGGGTGCTATGAGAGCACCGTCCGGCGGAGTGCGCGAGGTTGCAGAGTTTCGAACCCACACCCTCATACCACAATGCGCACTTCTAGCCGGTGTCCTAACCACTTGGACACCAGGCGGAGTTTTGAACTTATTATTTTTAACTTGGCTTTTTTTTTTTTTTTTTTTTTTTTTTTTCTACAGAAGCCCTTCCCCTTTCATTTCCAGCTTCTAGTGTCCAAGGCTCTCCAAACTACATCTCAAACAGTCTGAACGAGGGTCAGCTCAGAGCCCCGCTCCTCTCCTCCCGCCGGCTTCAAAACCATACCTGGCAACTGTGGCCGGGTCACTCGAAAGTTTCCACACCGGGCACCCCGTTCTCTCCTCACGCTGAAAATGGGCCAAAAGAAAAGAAGGCAGGAAAAGGTGGCAAGAAAAGGCCGCTGATACACGGGGTCACTCCAAAGTTTTCACACCGGGCACCCCCTTTTCTCCTCACGCTGAAAATGGCCCAAAAGAAAAGAAGGTAAGAAAAGGCGGCAAGAAAAGGCCGCTGATACACCGGGGCACTGCAAAGTTTTCACACTGGGCACCCGGGTCCTCCTCACGCAGAAACGGGCCGTAAGAAAAGGGCTGCAAGAAAAGGCGGCAAGAAAAGGCTGTGCAAGAAAAGGCCGCCGATAAGCGGTCTGTAGTTAAGAAACCAACCTAGAGTTAAGAAACCAACCTAGGATATGCTCCCCAGCGCTGTAAGAACCATCCCACTCCTCTTATCTGTCAGACCAGCAGCTTTAACTCTTCTTCTCCAATAGATCTCTATCACTCACTATCTAGCTTTCCCGGGGCGCCCGGCCGGGCGCCCCGGGCGCCACGCCCGGGTAGGGACCTCGCCCGGGGTACCCCGGGCATGAAAAAAATACACTGATTTATTTTTATTTTTATTTTTTGGCCTGCAGGGCCTTGCTGCGCTTTCCAAGTACAGCCCAAATCCGGCCTCATTTCTTTTTTTCAGGCATGTTGGTTTCCGTGTGTTTGGGGGGGAGGGAGGGGTTATGGCAGAGGGAGGAGGGAAGGGGAGGTTATGGCGGAGGAGGAGGAAAGAGGAGGTTATGGAGGGAGAGGGAGAAGGGAGCATGGAGGTTGTGGCAGTAGAGGGACGAGGGAGGATGGAAGGCTATGACGGTGGAGAGGGAGGGAGTCTATGGCCGAAGGAGCCAATGGAGAGGGAAGAGGAGGAGGGAGGTTGTGACGGAGGAGGGATGGGCACATTTATATATCTGGATGGAGGAGGGAGACCATGTGG